ATATGTTCTGGTGCTTCAATTATGCAAAACCCAACTCCCAGGGTCTGACTGCCTTCCAAAATGTGAGTCAATGGGGGAAAGAGAAAAACCCAGATCAAATTATTCCAGCTGTAAATCTTTGTAATAGCATAGAAGTCATGCGAGTGATATCCAACACTGAACAATTCTGTTTGTTTTCCGAGCTGTTGCTTTGTAGAATTCCCAAGGCATCCATCAATGACTTCAGAGAGCTCAGCAGAGAAGGATTCATTCTCCCTTATATTGTTTTGGTCAGGTCATTAGGCTGGGTGCTGTAATGACCCTTTTTGGCCCAAGGCACTAAAAGCCTTGGAGTAATATATGACCTGGTGAGTAAGTAAGTGTGAAGGAATAATTAACACAAGTCATTTTGCTCTTTATTTTTTAGAAGAGAAACTGTCACTTCTTTCTGAAGATTTGAATTATAAATGTTAAGAATATGAGCACTGTGAACAAAACAGTAACATGCAGATATCACTGGGCCAAAGTATGTTCTTCCACTGGAAGACTGAACAAAGCAGGACTACACAGCAGGGAACACAGCTGAAAAGGCACATATGCCTACATCACCTCATATGAATAACCAGCAATCAAAAATATGTATATGACTGTACCTGTGTCCTGGCACCCAGGAGATTGTTGAGCTTAAAGAAGAACTACTTGACTTACATTTCTCTTAGACAAAACTGTACAACCATGCAGCAAACTCACAGGAATCAGTGGGAAATTAAAGACTGTAATTGCACAGGTGCTGCTCAAATGAGAACTGATTTTAAGCACAGGACATCCCACTGAAATCAGGTGTATCACCTGTTCAGGACATTTCAGCTCCACAGTTCTCCAGAATTCACCCACATTAGCACAAAAAGAAAAAATGTAGCTTGATTTTCTACTTGGCTTGTCAAGTGACTGATGGACTTCATGCTCTAGGAAGATGTGAACTCCAGTTGAAAGTTTTCCTGGAGGATGAGGACAAGGTCTCTTTTCTGGAGGTCATCACAGCTTTTCTTTTTCAGGTGCTTATAGGATCTCTGCTCTACCTGCCACTGATTTTCTATAAACTTAATTCTCTTCCACAGTTGTCCTCACCTGCCAAGCTTGGTCAGAAGGTCCTGACACTTCTGGGAAGTCTGGGAGATACAGAGTGCAAAGGCATAAGCTTTATTGCTGTAGTAAACTATGCGAAAGAAAAACACAAATACGTTGCAACAGAAATTCATATCTTCTTTTCTCTTATGTACAGTGAGTTGCCCATAGTGACAGAGTAAAGTCAAAGGCTTAGAGAAAATTGAGGAAACATCTTCACATTGTATTTATTGCCGGAATACGTCAAAGCCATCACATAAACCTCCTTGCATTTTCTGGTACGTTTTAAGGGCTAAGCCATTAACCTCTTACAAGGCAAAATCTATCGAGTTCTCCAGGCTTCCCTTGCTCTGTTCTTCCCTGATGAAACCCTTTCAGTACCTGGAAACCACGGGGTAGATCATGTCCTTTATAAACAGACAGATGCTACCTGTCTCACAGACCATCCCCTTTTCCCTCCTTCCTCTTTGTCATGTTCTGCAATGCACCCACTGTTACTTTTTCCCTCCTGGCATTCTTATTCCCTCCCAAATATCCCCTTGTTTCTCAAGAGAAAAATAATCCTCAGCCTGACACAAGTTGATGAGAGCAATAAACTGTCAGTTTGCTTCCTCGGGCAGTGCAGACCCTTCCCCACAGCCCAGGGTAGGGGCTGTCCTGCAGGTGACGGGGGTTCAGAGCTCTGGGCTTTGCTGGCAGACTTTGGGAACCCTGTCTCGTGCCCCTTGATCCAGGGCCAGTTCTTGCCTCACATTTTGCCTCTCCTGATTTGCTGCATGTTCTCCTGTTGCTTTTATTTTTCAGACACCTGGCAAAAGAAAAACAACCCTGCACCTCACAGATATTTTAATAATTCATATTCAACTTCAGTTACTGCAAGTTTAATAAACAAGTACTTATTAGAATGCAATCATTTCTTCTTAAAGCGGGCAGTTTTTAGGAATAAAATCACAATAATTACCTCTAAGAATATGTATGAATAACAAACATTCAGTCCTCCTGTTTTTGCTGTTTCGTTCATTTGCATGTAAGCCTTCTTCACTTTTCCCCTTGCCTTTGTTTCAGCAGAGACCTTGCTTTTAATTGGACTGAATATTCAGCTGGGTTCAAACCCAAATTTGTATGTAAAAAAGCTATACATAGCAACCAGCTCATCCTGGAATCCATTAAAAATAACAAGAGGGATTGAAATGAGATTATTTCAAGAGCTCTCTTGCATTCATAGGAAACAGGATTTATTGCACTTGCAGAGAAGCTCTCCCAGGTAAGGGAGATGTAGGCGATAACATTGAGTCTTCCTGGTTTTTCCTCTTGTCCACAAAGCAGAACCATCTGAATTTCCAAGCTAATTTCATACCTGAAAAGCAGCTTGCCACGCACCAATAGCCTGCTATCCACTTCTCTGCCAAGGCTGTTTTTACTTTAAGCACAGTGACATACCAACACCGTCCGTTTCTGCAGCCTCCTTCCTTCAGCCCTCCCTCGGGATGCTTTGCAGGCCCCCATGAAATTCAGCTTAGCACTAAATGGAAGCAATGGAGAATACAGTAGCCTGTACACAATTAAAATAAACCAGATGTTGTTAAGCGGCAGCTACAATAAACACACCTGCAAGAGCCAGGGAAAGCAGGTGGAAAAGCTGATTTACGCCTCCAGAGAAGGTAAGCCCAGCGGCCTCAGCATCATGCTGCAACAGGGGATTGTCCACCTCCCTACCACCCACCCCAGCAAGCACAGCCATCTTCTCAAGGGACTCCAATGAAATTTGGGCTCACCACTTAAAAAGCAGCGTGTTGCCTGAAGAGCAGACTGCAGTGCCAAATTGCAGCCTGCCACCTCAGCTGCCACCCCTCCAGGAGGATGCTGGCTGTATTTTCATTCCAGTGGAGGTTTTTTATTATTTCTCTCACTTAAAAAAATAGCTATTTTCATAAAGACCATCTTTCCTGCACTCCCACTCACAGTAAGTAATTGGAAAAGTGATCCAGAGACTTTAGGTTTCTCCTTCTAGCAATTGACTGGGGAAGTTTCCCAGGAGGAAAAAGAAACCCCATCTTAACAAGATAATTATTTGGTTTTGGGGACATGTGTTGTAGGACTGTTTAATGGAAGAGAACACTAGGGGAGGACAATTTTGACTTTCTCAGCAGGGAAAAATAATACCTTTATAAGTCAGAGGCACACACCCGGAGGCTGTGGCTGAATTTTTGAAGGGCAAGTCCTCCACTAAGACTTGCCTTGCTGGTTGCCCTGCAGTGACCTCATACAGGCCTTGAAATCATCATCTCCAAAGGCACAGGCTTGGATGTGCATCCTCTGAGATAGTCTGCCTCCCTGGGGAGGACATACATTTAACTCCAGGGCTATAAACAGAGGCCAGGGTGAAGCAGCAGCATCTTCTGTGTCAGGTACAGTATGGCTTTTCAAGCGGCTCTTCAAAACAGAACATCTTCCTCTGGAGCAGAGAGGCATACGCAGCTCCAGCTTCGGTTACTGGTAAAAGGTCTGTGCTCAGAGAGGCTGTGATTAGAGGCCAAATGAAGCAGGATAAATTTGTAGTGTATTTGAGAGCATGTTTTATTGCCTGTCATGCACCCTTCAGTGTTGAAAGTCCATTGATCCCAAAAGGTTTGGGCCACTAAACAGAAGTCATGGGAGCCAAAGTGGTTTTCTTTGAAGTCTTGCTTCTAGTTGCTTACAACTTCCAGCTCTGAAACTAAATGAACTGAAGCTTGGCTCTCTGGAGATAAAGGTCTTACATTTGCACTATACTAAAAGAGTTCCCCGAGCATAGAGTAATTCCTCAGCACCATGCAGATTCCTGTAAGAGTTAATCACTGTAAAGCACAGTGGGTGTTTGGGTAAAAGGCATTAAAGAATTCAAGTTCCATTTTTTTCTTACAGATTCCACATCTCAAGTTTGTTTGTGTTTTGGTTGGTTTGTTTTTTGTTTTTTTTTCATAAGAGTGAACTGAAATTAATTGAATGTTAAGTGTGGCTCAGTCTGTAGCAGACCCTTAGCTGATTTAAATTAACAGCTTTGACCCATATTTCTAATTCACACCTTCTTGTCAACCCAGGAATGGATGTTTGGTGGTGAAACACAACCAAGATGACTACAGTTAACTATACAAGCCTTGGCTTCAACAAGGTTAAGGATTCATCAATTTACCTGCATTGTGATAGTTCTCATTGCAAAACTAGAAAAGAGGCTTTTATTTCAGTGTCCTAGAGTTTGTCCACTCTCCATACGAACTCAAAGGCATTTTATAAGAGCCTATGACTTGTGTCTTCTGCCATTTTCCCCAATGCACTGGCATAGAAGCATGCCAGGCTAACATGAAAAAAAAAAACAACAAAAAATAATGACCATGTTTGGATCTAACCTAGTTTGGGAATCCCTGGGATGCAGGGGAATTTGAACTGGCTACCCAGTTCTGGCTGTGTAAAAGGGCCCTGGCTTCTTTTTAAGCTTATTCATGTACAGATCAAACAAACAGACTTCCAAGTGCTTTCATTTAACTTTGATGCCAAACTTTGATGTCTTCACCATTTACAGTAATCATGTTTATGTGCATTTAATATTATTTTTTTAGTCCAAAACACTACCCATAAAAAGACCAACTTCATTTGAAATATGCAGCATTTTTGCTATTTGAAAACTGCATTTTTAATTTGTTTCTTATCAGCAGAGTACTTCTGGGGCAAAGAGTACATCAAGTTTTTAATGCCTTTCAGTTGATTTAAATTAATATTTTATGTTTGTATTCAAAAGAGCTGGCTAATAGAAGTGTGCTGACATTTTTTCACACTCTTTCTCTGGCATGTGTTATATGCAAAGTAATGGAATAAAGCACCAAACACTTGAGAAATAACCATGATGAGTACCCAAAAGATGACATTTCCACACAGTTTAATCCACTTGGATCATTACTCAAAAGCCTTGTGCCCAAGGTGGGGGGTACCCTAAACTCTCAAGATTAAGATTAGATGATAATATATCAACCCTTTGCTTTAGATGCAAATACCTACCTCTATGTGCCTGAAAGCCCTGTCCCCCCAAAAACAACAAAGGGGGAGCATTTCTCTCCCCAGTTCTGTATTTCTGCTGAGCTCTTTTCCAAGAACACAACAAGCCAGAGATAACAGCAAAGCTTTTAATCAAAAGGGGCCTGAATGATTTCTATTGCATTTAATAACCACTTCATCACTGTCACTAGATGAAAGTGCTGTATTGGATTCCATAGCTGACAACAGTGGTGAGGTAGAGGATAGCCTTCAATTAGGAAGCTACACCCCTCTCCTTTTAAAACTGGTGGAGGAGGACAGTATCTGAAGTTACCTTTCCACTGTTGAACACTCCAGCTAGCTTTAATCTAGGTAGCTCAGAGGCTGGTAGCAATCTAGTACCAGCAGGACAGAGCTCAGTTTGTATTTATCATTGTTGTTTATCAGAATTAAGGCCAGAGTGTTGCCATGCTCATATTGCCCAGAAATCTTCCAAGATTCTCTTAAGACAACAGTACTAACTGCTAAGGAAGCTAGGATTCATTTCTAGTAGGTAACTGCTACCCAGAAACTGGCTGAGTTAATTTAGCACAACTTAAAACACTCAGATTTATCCTACAGGATTCACTAAACATAGAGATGAACCGTGGGCTTCCAAAACCAATTTTTTAAGTCGGGATTCTTGCCATGCTACTCCCATTTAGAGCATAACAACTAACCTTCAGCTCACTGAGTCAAGAACCTACCTTCAAGCTGGAAGAATTACCACCCTGTCCCTGACGTACCCACATATTGTACCAAACATTTCCTTTCTTTGTGTTTGCATATATACAGTGTTATAGCCCTAAACTTCCCCATGGGCCTGAGTATTCTGAGAACTTAATGGGCACACAAACTGTTTTTTTTTTATGTTCCTCAGTTGAAACTACTGGAGTCAACCTGGACCAGCTGTGCAAATGAGTCAGCAGGAGGTCACCACCCACTTATGCCAAGTCCTCACTGAGCACCTCACAAGGAGAATTTTAGAAATGCTTCGGAAGCATTAACTCTTCTATCATGTTGGTTAACAGGAAGCAGCTGAAAAGCTCAGAGAGGAGTCAGCAGTGATGCAAGATCTCAGGCTACCCCTGCTACAGCTATCACACAGACAGGATCTACAAATAAAGTCTGAAAAAGGAGGGAACTTAAAGGAGGAATGTAATTACATAGCCAAATCCCACACAGCTAACACAGCACAGGCTACTGCTATTAGCACTGCATTTTTACAGAAAGAAACCACTATCCAAGAGGCTAAAGTACAGGGGAGAAAGTTTTCCTCTCTAGGGCAGATGAAGGAAGAGAACACTGAGAAGCAATCATTAGTAAAACAATTGGCTGCCTGCTTTGCACAGTTGCCACAAAATGTTTACGCTGACAGTGCCATGAATGTGTTGGCTTGCCAGAATTGCAGCTGTGCCAAGGAACTGTCTACTGCTGGGGCTGCTGTTGCATTTCACCTTCTAAGTATGTGATGCACCCCTGGGTCATCACCCTATTCCCCTGCTATCCCAGGAACCATATTGGGGAAATTCATTATTAGCCTCTTTTTGAAACCTAGTATTTTGTCCCCCATGATTGCTATCAGGAACAAATACAACATCTGAAACCCACTTTTGAGAAATGAAGATGCTATACTGTCTGATAAAAGATTTGAATTATTTTTCTAAAAAAGTAGTAAACTGGAAGCTTCTGTGTCTGAGAACAAGAGACCTGGGTTTTTTTTCCTGATGTAGATAGAAAGAAATGTTAATGTCTTATGTTCAGAGACAATGATACTGAATTTATTGTACTGTGCTGGAGTGGGGTAGAAGTGTCACTTCATTAAAGTATTTTTGGTTGCTTTTCCCCCCTCATTTTCCAACTAACTTTAACAAAACACACCTTAAAGAAGGAAGGATGTCTTTGTTTTGTATCAGAGAAGATGGACGTTGAAAAGAACTCCTAGGAGACCCAACAGTGGTTAACTGAGAACAAACAGTCATTGCAAAAATTTCATCAAGAAGTCTCACTTATCAGCACGAAATCATATTAAAGAAGGATATGGTCTAGGAAGGAAAGACATGCACCACATAGTAACTTATTCATATACTTAAGTGTAAAGAAAGCTTTCAAGAGCATAATCCTGAAAGATGCTGCAGGCTCCCTGCAGGTTACTGCTGCTCTCAGTTCCAGTGATGTTAAGCATACTCAGCACACTGCAGGATTTATCTCTAATGGCTATCTGATCCAAAAGCCAAACTGTTAAATGAATAAAATCACTGCATGCTAGATCAGGACACGAGAAGATTGCCTGCGTTGCCGTGAGATTAAGATTATCAAGTGAATAAATCTATCACGTGATAGATAAAACAAATACCCATTAAAAAAATAAATCTCTCAACACTAGGAAGAGAAATGCATTCCCAGCACACTCTGAAAACCTTCAAAAAGACAGGTATATCCAGCATCAGGACCGATGGAGATGAAGATTGCTTTGCAAGCCCCCATCCCCCTCAAAAGTAGTGAGCACAGGCCCCCTAAAGAGACAGATAATAAGAACAAAATCAAAAGTATCTTTGAAACACCTAGGAATTGATGAGAACAGGTGGGAATCTCTGTGCTGAAGTGTGACATACTAGACACAAACCCAGGCATTTCTAGCTACTTAGCCAATAGTTTAGTTGGGATTGCCTTGATCTCAGACAGAATTTTCACTGACTTTTACAGGTAAGAGAGGTGTAACTGCATCAGACTTCTGACCCTTACTCTTGACTCCAGTCAGCCCAAAGTAAATTCAAGTTCCAAATCATTTTGTCCCATCCCTTCACTGATTTTAGAAATCACCTTCTCCTAAGGGCAGTTGTTTCACACTCAAATTTCTCGATATGTCTTGGTCAAGAAGGTGCCATCTGTCTTCCCTCATTCAACTGTCTGCAACCACATTTCTACCTTTACGTAAGGCCCTGGGCACACTCAGGAGGAAACCTAGCAACAGTGTTATTTAAGAGGTTGCTACCTACAGGGATCTCCAGTATTTACAAAAAATAGCTAGAGCATGTGCATGGATGTATTATCATAACATAGTTCTTCCACTGCTGTAATATAAGCTCTACATAGAAGTCATCCCAGGTGACTATTTCTAGCCCAAGGATCAGTATCTCCAGCTTGTCTTTTTCTCACAAGTACCACATTACAGGCTCCAACTCAGGGCACCTCTGTCATAGCACAGTTCATTGCTTCAGCCTGTGCTCTGAGCTGACAGAATGTGAACCCATCCAGGCAACCTTCAGCCACAATATTAACCTGAGTAAAACCCTGAGGCCAGTCCTGCTGGGAGGACCCTGGCTGCTATCCCAGGACTGCCTTCCTCTGCTTGTGCAGGCAAGTTCTTCTTCAGACCGTCCAACATCCATACTCACTGAATTAGTGACACATTTCAGGCCTGAAAGAAACAGAAAATTACTTTTTAAGCCAGTGGAGAGAACCAGAGCCATTAGGAATAGCTGAAAGCTATATTATGATACCACACATTGACAAAAGGCATTTGATTGCTGGAAGGAGAACTACCACAAGGCAGATATCCTAACTCCATTCTGCACCACAGCAGGGTTCAGCTACATCCCCTTTCTGGTGAAAAGTTCCGTCTTCCAATTTACAGCCCTATTAAGAATTTTCCAGTACACCTTGCTGTACTGGAATGATTCAGGGAATTCAAATTCCAGAAGAGAGAAAATAGCAGGACAAGGCTCATTATTAATGACTTGATCAGCCATTTGTGGGGGTTTCTGGTATGTGCCAACTCTATCTTCAGAGTTTTAGAATGCACACTGTGTGAGGGGAAGTAGGACTTCTGTAAGTTCTCTCAAGCGGTTCCATTACACCTGATTTATAGCATGACACTACTTGTTCTAGCCCATAACCTTGAGCTCATAAACTACACAGGGGAAAATTTACTAACTACTGACTTTATCTTAATGCACTATTGGGAATTTTAAATGGGGAAAAAAGGCAAGAAGAATCCGGGCCACCTAGAACTGGTTTTGAAAAACAATCCTTTAATGGCCTAGTGCAGTGCACATCACAGTCCACTCTGTTTTCATCTGAAGTTTTAATTTACATGGCCAGAATACAGTAAGGACCTATGTTTGTCTTGCTCTGAAGGAGATAATCAATAGGAGAGATGTAGACACATTTCATTGCTTCTTAGCTGCATACGTTGATGGAGTTTACCACAATCGCATGTACAAACGCCCTTACTCCACTCTTAGCTAGCCTAAGAGTTTAATTAATAACAGAATTCAGAAAGCTGTTTGCAACTTTTCTATTAAAAAGAATAAATTAATATTAAAATTAATGGCTCCATTAAAAACATGTCCAGATGACCAGAGGGAATTACCTCCCTCTCATCAGCACTGGTGAATCTGTACCTGGAACACCAAGTCTGGTTTTAGGTCCCCCCACTGCAAAAGAGACAGGGAACCGAAAGGATACAGCACAAGGGCTTGAGAACTAGATTTATGAAAGGTTGAAGCTGGGCTTCTTCATCCTGCCTAAAAGGTAGTTAGCAGGGTAATCTGATAGCAACGGGACAGTTGCAATGTGATAATCAACCACTTCTTGGTAGCACCAGGCAATAGAACAAAGGACAAGGACAACAGAGTACAGCTTGGGAGGCTCGGGCTGGGCTTTGTAAGAAGTTTTGACAGGAAGAGCAGCATAGCACCTGTACAGGCTACCAGAGAGGTGGCTGGGTTTCCAGTACTGTTAGACAGAGACACAGGTGGCTTGATGCAGTTGGAACAATGGTCCCAACTCCAAGCTAATTTAAAATAAAGATATCATATGCATACAAATATGGTTTAATCCTCCATTTCATTCTTTTTGGAGGAGAGAAAAAGGGAGTGAATCTAGGATCATAGGACAAATTAGTTTTACCACACAACACTTGATGGCTGTACTACTGTGCAATACACAGAAGTAGCATCCACAGATGTAATAATTATTCAGATGCTCTGACCCACGTTTTATCTTTAGTTTCAATAATGCTCTGTTCAAGCCTAACACATACTTTCAGATTAACTTCTTCAGCTAATACTCTGAGGTGGATGCCTAATTTGCCCGATGTAAAGTTACACTCTCCTTGGCTCGTTCTCTTCAATGGCAGCCTGCCCTCTGTATTAGCATACAACTTCCTTGAAACAAGAAGTGTTGATGTTAGAGCAAATACAAAATTAGTTCTGCATTTGCTGACTAGTCCCAAGAGATCTCTTGTTCCTTACTTCAGTTTAAGTACTCGCAAGTCAGTTCTTGAAACTTTCCCCTCCTTTCAAGTTATTTTCCCTAGGTAAGGCTCCAGCAAACAGTAACTTGTGTAATTATTATTGTTATTACAGTCTCTTATTTTGTTTAATTAGTAACTATTTTAAATTACATGGCTGAACTGCAGCTGGATAGATGTCATTCAGCGATAAAGGCTTGTTCTTTGAAAAGCTAGAAATAGGGGCATTTTCAGCAGGGCTATAGCTCATACAGTGAAGAATGTCACACTTTGTTTCTATGGTTCATTGAGGATATTAGGAGTAACCTTATTTCTATCTAAAGAAGAATTCTGTTTGCAAATGACTTTCCAACATCCCAGCAGTGGATTTTCATAGGGACTGGCAGAAAGCAAACAGTGATTCTTACTGATCCTTCACTCCAGTGACTGAAAGATTTCCCCAAGCAATTCCACAATGTACTGTTACACACCTCTCACTTGGACAAACAGGAGTAATCAGAAGATTTGCACTGCATGCCCTTGGTCTTGTCGAGTTCATGCCAGGTACAGCAACACAGTGGAAGCACTGGGCAGAACAGGCCTGTCTGTGCCCAGGCACCACCCGAGCCCCAGTGCAGTCCACCTCACAACAGCAGTTTCCAGTACAGACCTGAGCAGAATCAGAGGTCCCTAACTCAGAACTGCCCAGTCATTGTCTATCACACATTTATCTTCCATGTTGTTAAAGAGGCTGATGATCACTTTATAACTATATTCATGAGTCTTCTTTACTCTGTCTTTGATGAACTATCCTCTCAATAACTGCCCAGGAGTTTTGAAAAGGAAAAAACATTCACACATCCAAAAAGACATCAGGCTGTCTAACAAAAGAAAGTCCTTTGACTTTCTCACTGGATACTTTAAAATGCTTATGAACAAGCCCAACATCAGGTTTTTAAGTTTTCCTCAATTAAATCTCACACTGCAGAGCACAGCTCACAGTTCTGCTCTCTTCAGATTCCCCTGAAGCCTTACTACACCTTCATGCATACTTGCTCCTTCTCCAGTTTCTGTAATGTCAGCACATACATACACACAAGCGGTGAGTTTGCAGTGCCCCCAGATGTTACTAATAAAATTAGCATCAAGTAGAGGCCTAGGTGCCTCTCTCCCTCCCTTCTGGTGATAGCTCATTTAAGAATGTTCTTTTACTGGAGGTCACAGTAATAAATTATGATCTTCTACTAAAGACTTGTTGCAATTAGCATGGAATTTCCTGTCTGAAACCATATCAAATATCTGAGGTGCAGGTGCACTAATTACCAAGAAAGCACAGTAGAATAAACCCCCCCCCAATTTTATCTGTATATAAAACTTGACAGTACGGAGTTTTATCACTAGATCTTACTGAATTTTAAAAAGGTTCAGGCAGGTTCCCATACCAGTGTTCTGATGCACCCTACCACAGAAACCACTTCAGATACTGTTACTGTCCTACCAGTGACAGAAAGGAATCAAACCAGTTCAAGCCCATCTCACCAACCCTCCCACCGTTGTACTGTTGCTCCACAGCCGCGCCTGTTTCCTTTGCCAACACTATGAGGATCCACCTTGAGTTACGCATCTTTAAGGCAGCAGAAAAGAGTACTAAGGAATAAGAGGAATGCTGAAAAGCATGTCAAAAAAAGAGTCTTCCCACTTACGGTTTTGAGAAAGAAAACATGACAAGTAACAACCTTGCTTCTTGACTGAAACATTTTTAAAGCCCAAGTCTGTTTGTTTAAAGTAGTGTCAGGGCCACCTACTGCACCATAAAGAAGCTGGAAAAGATCAGTCACACTCTCGCTTCTCTCCATGTCTGCAGATTTGTAACTAGAATAAAGTTATATAAGGATTCAACCTTGTCCAGAGGTCCAGAAGGGATCCGAAGCAAAACCTAGAGCATGGAGGAGAAATAGGTACTGGAATATAATATCTAGAAGCCAGGTTTTATATGCTTAGATGATAAGTGCTTATTAAGCTTGGATTATTTTGCAATTCCTTAGTCTTATCCCAGATGTCTGGCCCCAAGAAAGATTAAGTCATTCAAATTTGCTACAACTTGTAAGAAATTCAGCATGACAAAAAAGAGTTTTGTGGCAGCTGGCAAAGCGCAGCTGTGTCATAGCACACCAGAAACAGTTATTCAAACACACATCAGGGACTACAAAGATAGAGTACTTTACCAGGAGCATATCTTTCAGACACAAGTTACGAAATCATGGCTTTAAAGCAAGTAATGTGTCTGTAAGTGCACTGCAGAAAAACAGACTGCAATTAAGCACCCATTAATGGTACTGAGCTATGCACATACTTGTGTAACTTCACAATTCCCTAATAGTCTCTAACATCATGAGACCCTTTCTTTGGTAGCCAGAAGAAACAGCTGTATGACACCTTCATTAAGACAAAGATAATCTGTTTCCTTATAGGAATTGTCCCTTTGCCATCATTCAAGTACTGATTGAAGTAAACACATGTAAGAAAGGCTACCACTAGCTGGTGTGGTAAGAAGACCCAAATGAGGTAAGCAATCTATCACCCGTTCTAATATTCCCAGAATGGAAAAAGAAGGTTCTAAATATCAGACATTTGCATAAACAAGCAACTACTCACTCTCTTTTTATGCTGATCTCTGGCCATCTGAGTTGAAAATTTGACTGGGTGAAATAAGATTTCCCCTACTGACCTCAGTCTTTTTCTCTTCAAAGAAGTCATGATAAAATGGGATCATTTTCAAAGAACTGAAAGCCCAGTTTGTATATGCAACAAGCCATTCCATATTAAGTCCACAGAGCATTTTACTTGCCTCAACATTACAAAAGCAATTTGTTTCCAGACAGTGCAGAATAATTAGTTCACTCTTCACTAAGACAAGCTTTTCTCCATATTGTGCCTGTAACTCATACAGAGTTTCCACAGAGAACAGTCTGAACTCCATGCACATACCAGACTATTAATGCCATGGTCAGAATCAAAAACAGAGTTTCAATATGCTGTAAGCTTTCATTGCCACTTCCCTCTCTGACACACTAAACATTGCCACCTACTGACTCTGTCAAAACCTGAACTCTAAATGATTGTTTCACTCCTCACTCCCAGACACAATGCCCAAGATGCACAACAGAGGCTGTAAAGAAAGATCATTAGAGTCCAGATTTTAAAGAAACCACAAATAGATGCCTGATAACCTCAACTATTATTGTTACTTGGTTTTTTTCCACTGTTGTAGCTATTTTAAGATGTCAAATTTTAGTAATTTCAGTCCTTTAATCTTGCAATGTGACTGTCAAGCATGTGTTTTTACAATAAAAAAACCCAACCACACATAACAGAGACAGGTGTGTGAATTTGAGGACAACCACAGTTCCTTACAAGCTTTGTAACAGCAGTGTATGTTCTAGACTTGATAGTCCAGGGTAAATCTTGAATGCTGTGTTCCAAGTAACTCAGAAAAAGCAACATCTGTTGCTGCTTTTCCAAGATTTTTCCATACCTATGGCTTGACAAATAAGAAAAAAAAGATCATCATTTTTGCATCATCCAGCTCCAGCAGCACCAAAGATATAACTAAAACAATATTTTTAATTATTCTTTTATATAATTACATTGTCAAACAAGAAATACCTATGTAGTCACAAAAGTTTGTCACAGTGTATTAACAAGGGTTCTGCTTCGCAGCTGCTGCACGTATTCTTTTGCTTGGTCAAAACCAGTCCTTGGTGGCTCTGGAGGAGGAGGAGGACCTTCCACCAACTTCACAAAGTAATGGCACCTGGAGATTTTCATGATGCCAAACATGCCTTTGCCATGGTAACGAATCCGTTTCACATAGCTGCCTCTGCCCGTCATTGACACAGCTGAAGGAAAAAGGCGGGGGGGGGGGGGGAAGAAGACCATTCAGTCAAGAATAAACTACTACGCATCTGCAACTGAAACACTGCCTTGCTAGTGTATTTTTCATGACTGCATATGAAGAGTTAATTCTACTTGGGATTCTCTCCATCTTTCTTCTATTCCATTTAGCAGATTACTGCTATAGAGGAACCTGTGAGTTGATTAACACTCTTCAGGAGCACCAAAAAGGTGAATTTAGAAATCATGCATGCAAAGATAAATATGCAGTAACGGACAAATCCAAAGGAAGCTACACTGAGCACTTACTAGATTATATAGCTCTTCTGAAGGTGGTATTAATTCCACTGCTTTTCAGTAGTTTGTCTCATGAATTTTGGTAGAAGTCTTATAGACTACATTTTCCCTCCTTTCTCCCTTTATTGCACTCATCATAGGTATTTTCGTTATCTACACATCCAGTCCTGCATTAGCAGATAAACCTTCTTACGGCGGAGGCCTGGAAGGTTCCAAAGAATTCTTAATCAAATGTGCTCTACAATCCACGTTACTTTAAGCTTATGAGGTCAGCTTACTAACATTTATACCATATTTGGCAAAATGAGAATTTTTTAATTTGGTCCTAAAAACAACTATAAGTAAACATTTCTCTAACATTTTTCTAGGCAGGAAAGTGTAGTTATTACAAGCTTATCCTGTAATCATCTATAACAAAGCCTTTTCATTAAGAAGATTACTGTAAATATTTATTTACTTTTACGCTGTTTCTTACAGAAGTTTAGATTCCAATCCTACAAAGCTAGTAGTACTAGTCACGGACAAAGCTTCCAGCATCTATGTTCACTGGCAATATTAAAAAGCAGTAACAGTTTGCTTCATGTTGTCTAGTCTTTCATAATCATGTCAAACATCTTCCTCTGCAGGACTTTCTGTTCACACAGGGAGCAGAAATTCCACTTTCAATGCATCTAGCAGATGCCACAAGAACACCAGTCAGACACTAACTATAACAAACTGATGATGGCTGAAGGCTCAACCACCACACTAACTTCAGTTGTGCTACAAGTTGGAAGCACATGCCTTTTATGTTTTGGTAAAGATAACCTTATTAGAAACTATCCGTTTCTGCTGATTTGAAGCAACAAAACCTTATTAAGGACAAAACCTTTTCATAGGTTGGATGACATTCTTCTGCACTAGAATAAGGAAAAAAATGTACCTATATGTAAATTCGATTTGAATTCCACATTGTGATTTCTTACTGCCATTTCCTGCGCTTCTAAGAGAACCTGTAACACGAGGAAAAGAAGCAGAAATACTGAGTAGGAATTGAAACAATGTTATTTCTTATTTCTACATAACATGGAGGAAATTGCAAGTGTTAGTCAGTTACTGAAAAAGTATTTTATAGAAATCAGAATTATGTAAAATATGTTTGTCTTAACAAGTATGTTCTTTGTGTACAGATGAAAAAGCTTTATTACATTTTTTGAGAGGAAAAGAAGTGGAAAAGATGGTTCTCACCAGCATTTGTCACCCTTCCATCCACAGACCTTTGTGTAAATAGGTATCAGAGTTAAAACCAGTTCCAAGGTGTGCAAAATGAATTTAGGCTATTCAGTATTTTCAGCTAATACAGGATACTTTGTCATTATTATGCCAGAAATCAATGCTCTGGCTAAGAAAATGAGAAATTTGAGACTCCTAATAACTACAGTGTACGAAAAGCTTTCAAGCTTTTACAGAACTCAGTCCCCTCCCTGATGATATCCTTCATCTCTTACAATTTTAAGAACCAAAGCACATAGATGTAGCAGCTGTTAGAGACACGGATTCTACTTTATCTACCATGGACTTAACACGAAGCACTGTTAGAGAGGGTACCCACATTTAACTTGTAACGATAATAAATTACGACAGCCAGCACAAGTGACCTTGGCATGTCCATAAGTCACATTACATGACTGGTACAAAAATACGCTGTTTGAATGTGCTCTCAACAGGCTTAACAGAAGCATAGAAAAACATAGAAATAGAAACATCTCCAAACTTCTGGTGATAGGTATTGATTTTAAAGTTTTCTTGAAACTAGGAGTGTTAAAGAATGCTACTACGTACCTCTTTGATCACCTTTGCTCCCTTTTTATCACTGAATTCCAACTGAGCAAGAGCCTGATCAATGGACATTCCTTTTATCTGCAATCAAAGTGTTAAAGTTGACTTCTGTAATTACAAATACTTCTCTTATTCAGAAGACAGTGTTTAAATTATTTGGCCATTATAAAGAGCAAATCAAGACTTTAGTCTCCTTAATTACCATTTCCTCAATGTAATATCTTACTTATAGAACTTCTGAGCTAAATATTGAATAAATCTTGATAAAACATTTTATTTTCTTAAAGAAAAAAAACAGCCCATATCTACCTATTAAAGTTCCCCTTGCCATCTACTGCTAGGCAGAAACCAACACGAAAATTCTTCCACAGTGCATAATCTGCATATGATACTGGATACACATTTGAGAACATACTAGGATAAAGCAGCTAAACCAAACTATGAACAACTGTTTGCCTGCACAGACACATGCTGTTCCCCGGGACTCTTATGAAGATGATGATTAGACTATGATTGAACTAGGCTATTAAGGTAAATACAGTAATTAAATTTTGCATTCTAACAAATACAGTACAAAGTACTTTTTGCTTACCAGTTTTGCCAGATACCACATCTTATCTTTGCTATATTTTATTTCCCTCCGACAATGATATATTTCCTAGGTGCAAAAAAAAAGAAGTTAGAGGATCAGTAATTTTGCTGTGAAAACAAGAATGGAGCATACATCATCTGTTCCACAAACTATTTTTGTACTAGGAATAAAATAAGTGTGACTTCCCCTACTATGCCATGAACATAGCAAAGCAGACATACCTTTCACATTTAAAACTGAAAGCATTAAAAAAAAGTAGCTGGCATACAAAAAATTTTAATACAATCTTATGAGAATTAGTTTATAGACAAAAGTCCCTGAAAAGGATAATCAGAAGATTTTTCATTATCTTTCCCTTTCCTCCACCCCACATTTTGAAGCAGACTGATATGCTCATTCAGTCTTAAAAATATTACTCTGCTGTTAATTCAACTGACTGGGATAGCAACTAAACAATATTATCAGAATTAACTTAATTAGCTCTTCAGAAGTGAAGAGGGTTTCAAGTTTGACTGGCATGAAGAGCTGTCTCCAAAGACCTATTTAGCATTATTACTGTACCAACAGGGACCAAAACTAGCTAGTAAACTTTAACATCAACACAAATTTGGAAGAGATGGCATTCTTTATGAACAGCTGAAAAAACAATTTAATAAGTGAGTTTGTCAATAATTGCATTTTCACATACATTGCATGAGTCAGCACAGTACACAGCACATATTTCTATGTCATAGGCCATAAGGTTCACAGAAGCAAAAAATGCTCACAGTCCAAAAAAGCACATGTCCAAAACCCCCCTAATTCTTCTGAGATGCAAATACTTTACTTTTCTGACCAGTAAAGAGGCCACAACATATTATCTCCCAACAAAGAACTATTACTAAAGTAGAATTCCAAAATATCAGTTCTCAAGAGTGAGGAAGTACTGAAGAATTAACCTAAAACTCTTCGAGGTTGTGCTGTAGAGACAGTGGCACCGATTAGTCCCTTCAGTGATCAAATACAAAACACTTAGTTTTCACATGCAACAAATTAAGAGGCTTGTTTCTGTTCACATTTAACTGTACGTCCCAGTTATAAAATGATCAATATGAGGAGAGAGGAAAAAACAGGCATAAACCTGCTGATATCAAAAACTAATCTGTTATGACCGCATTTAAAAAACTCGACCACGTTACTCATGCTGACTTCTCCAAAAGTTGTCTTGAAGGGCCAGCAGACAGCCCTACATTGACCATACAGGTAACAAAAGGATTTTAGATTCTTTGCTTCAGTTTATGGCTTAGTAAAACACAAGTTATTGTACAACATAATGAAGGAACAAATCCACTGTACAGCACAAATAAAATGGTTTCCTAAGAAAAAAAACCTGCAATCATATGCCACATCTTAGACTCCCACATAACTTCAGAGCCTCTCAGTCCATATTAAACATTTCAAACAGCCACTATGACAGAAAACAACCTCTGAATAGTTTCATTAAGGGGAGGCCACAGCAAGAGGCAACACATTATCAAACCTCGGAGAATCTATAACACATAGAAATTAAGAAATTAAGAGTGTGCACTCCATTGTACCTACATCAAACAGGCACCACTAGTTCCACTACCCAAGGAAAGTTACATTTATATCTTTGTACTCAGAAGCAACAATGTAATTACATTCTTCTCTAGAAGGTACAAAAAGAACAAGTGTATAATGATACATCCTTGGTAATTTCTACCTCCTTGTAGTTCAGAGACTTCTACAGAGGATGGTACCTTTGCAGTTTGCATCACATTACAGGGGATCAGCTGCAAGCAACTTGAAGCTCCAATATAATTTAGAGGTGGAAAACATTCAAAGTAATGTTAATTGCTACAATATAAATACACCAAACTGACTAAAATCTTAAATAGCAGATGAATAAGCTATCAAACTAGTGCCTTGTGAAGTCACCCAGAGACAGTGATAATCTGTTCAGAAATTGCTAAACATAAGTAGGTAAGGAAATTCACAGGTGTATCCTTACAGCTGGTCTGCGAGGTTCTCCAGGCAGCTGCGGCGGGTAAACAACCCTGTTCTTTTTCTCCCACTTCCCAAACTGCAGAGATGTGCTTGTGTGGATGCATGACAGAGGAAAAAGGCTACCAGGTGCTAGCCCCCTGCAAGACAAGATTACAGTTTTGCTGAACATAAGAGCTCTTTATCCCCTGCCCAGTTTATCTAGAAAATTGTGAACTTACCTGTCTTGGTAAAGAGAACTAACACACTTGACTACTCACAAAATAAAACTAACCAAGTCCTCTATGGTTTACATTGAAATGGCTTTTTACTTCAATAAGAAGCCTCAGGCTTCCTAAAGCAAATTACGAGCCAAAAGCGACATTAATATAGCATGAAACTCCATATTAAGCATCCCTGGATCATCACACAAAGACACAGTCATATCTTTGTTCTTACGTGAGGTTCATTACTCACATGAGTAATTTTTTATCTTTTCCAAAACTAGCCAATACTTATTTAACTGTTACCAACAAGATTGTTAGCTGTGAAAATTTCTAGTTTTTCAAGGGACTGAGTATCAACAGAGTATCAGAAGTTTATAAACATTCTTAAATTTGAAAGGAAAGATAATCTAAGCTACTTTCAAAATGCAATCAAGTCAATATAAAACAGAAATAGCAAAAAACCTCGTAGTTTTCAGTCAGTTTGCTCACCTCAGATTCAGAAAAAACAGGCTACATTTTGCCCCCTGCTGACTACATCAAGCAGCACTGAGCAGCCTCTCATAACTACAAGAAACAGATGAGTTCAAGACCAGATATTGTGAGTTTTACTACAGCTTGAACAGCTCCATGTAGGTAGCCAAACTGTGCAAAGCATTTTAAAAATTACTGCCAAACAGAACATGTTGATTAGTTTCAAGAGGGCATTGTACACCTTAAAGTTTTCACATCCTATCGGTAGGGAGTAGCATAATACACAACTTCAAAGTTAGGGAATATTTTTTCAGCTATTTACCAAAACCAGTTTATTTGAGTAATACTTAAAAATTTCACTCATCAAGATGACAATTCATTATCACCAGACATAAGATCATCAATTAATACGGGAAAATATTTGGCAAGCATGTGAATATCATTTTGCAATTTAACAACTTAAGCATCAGTGAACTACATATTGTCTTCCTGGTATTAGCAAGACACATTAATACATCTGGCAGAGTAAGGAATCTTACATTCCCTCTGTCTTAACGTCATGAGAGTAGCAACCTCACGATGAGGTCAACCTCATGTGAGGAGCAACTCTGTCATACCGTTAGGAGAAGAAAGAGGACACGAACACATTGTAAGCAAAAGAAAACATTAACAAGCAACAAACAAAAGGACGTTATATACGGGTAAGTAAGGGGAACAGGAAAGAAAAAAGCTGAGCACTTTTTCTGAAAGAATCATGCATAAACAGCAAGTGGGAGACATACAGGCCGGAAGAACTGAGTAAAACGAACAATTAGCACGTAACTGTCCAACTGCAAGGCAGTAAGCAAAGTACAGGCAACATAAGCCTATTTTTAATTCCTTCAGTAACGCAGGTCTCTACAATTTACCTCCACAGGCTAGGAGACCAAAGCTCTGCACTTTAAGAATCCGCATCAGCCTTTCTTCTGAGGCCAGGGAGACAGTCAACAGTGACCCATACTCCCCCAGCACAACTTTGTCATTTCTCCAGAGTGAGAAGGACCAACAATTACAGAAAAGCAATGACTGAGGAAAGCACAGAGGGGAGCAACAGGTGCCGTGTTACTGTGACCTGCACCGCAGAGGCAGAGAAAACCCGGATGCCCGACAGTATGGAATCGGGAAACACCTCCACCACGCCGCAGTCTCCAAGTACACAGAAAGACACTACGGAGGCACAGCGCGACCTGTTACCCGCAGCTCCGGGGCAGGGTGAGAAGTCAACACAGCCGAGCCAAGCGAGCCAGGCCCGCAGCCCCAGGGAGCGCCTGGGCACAGCGACCCAGGGCGCCAGCAGAGCCGTACTCACCTCTCCAGCCGCGCCCAGCCGAACAGACCGCGCACCCAGGCACCGCCTGAAAGGAAACAGCACAGTGAGCAACGAACAAGCAGGCGAGACCCTCCAAAACGCGCGCCCCGGCTCCATCCCCTCAGGCTCACCCGCTGCCGCCGCCCACCGCGCCGCCATTTCCCGCCGCCTCGCTTCACGGCGAGGCGCGCCGTTTGCGACGCTTTACGACGGCGTGCGCGGCGCTGGGCGGCAGCGCGATGGCGATGGCGCGGGTGCTGCCCGCCTCGCCCAACTGGTACAGCAGCCGCTGCAGCGACGCCAGTAGCGACGGCCGCCTCTTCGGCTTCGCGGCGAGGCACCGCGTCTGCCTGCTGGACGTCGGTGGCGCCACACCTGCGTTTTACGGTACCGCGTTAACCCTCTCCCGCCGGCGGCTCTCCCTCCTTCTCCCCCTCCCCGCGTTTTATCGGAGCCGTTCGGGCACGCTGGGGGAGGCGGCGGGACCCCCCGGCGCGGGTGTGGGAAGGCACGGTGCGCTCACGGGTGGGATGTCCCACGACGGTCTCTTGCTGTCGGTGCAGGAGAGCTCATCGGGCACGCGGACAGGATCTCCGGGTTCGCGTTTTGCCACAGCCCGGGGCAGAGCGGCCTCTGCGCCAGCAGCTCCGACGACGGGAGCGTCAAAATCTGGGAGGCGGCGGCGCTGGCCCCGGTGGCGGGGTACAGCCTGCACCAGGTAGGGAGCGCGGGGGGGGCGGCCCCGGGAGGGCTCGCAGCGCGGGGGGTGCTGTGGGTCTTGCGGGCGAAGCGAGGTGGTGTTGCCTTAACCGAAGGTGAATTGCCAACCCGGTGAAATTAAAACCGCTGAACGCCTCTGGGCCAGCTTTTTGTTCCAGCCTGAGGGCTGCCGCGTTGTTGCATCACCTTAATGAGCGGGTGGTTACCGCCAAAACCTGCTGGCAAGGCGTAGGAGGTGCCACTTAACCCAGCTGGCTTAAAATCTTTTCAGCAAGTTACTGTTCCAGACTAAAACCATACATTTGAACAGTTACTGTCACTCAGGGCAGCATATCAGCAAATACAGCGATCGTGCCCAAGCCCAGAAGAACTGAAATGCTTTAGAACTGGTTCGGCCGGTGCTGGGGAGTACTCGTCATTTATTTTCTGACTGTTATTCTGTGTTAGATGATGGTGGTAAAACAGCTTTGAATGTATTTAATTCTCTTTCTTCAGAACGCCATCTCAGCGTTGCATTGGTCACCCCTTGTGAAAGATTTGATTGTATCTGGTGATGAAAAAGGTGTAATTGTTTGTTACTGGTACAACAGAGGTGACAGCCAGCAGTTCTTCCCGGAGCCCCGGACAATTTTTTGTCTCACTTGTTCTCCTCACCATGAAAACTTGGTGGCAATTGGGTAAATATTCCTTACATTTTGTTTTCCGTTCTTCTTCTGCAAGAATCTTACTGTGAATTTTTGCTACACTGTTGTAAGGTTTTTTTTTTTCTGTTTTCTTCTTCTGGCATGCAACAATTCAGAAATAACATTTAGATTTAGTAGATGAGCTAAACATAGAAATCCATCATAATGTGAGGGTCCAGGTTTGGTTTGAATCCTTGAAGTTTCTTAAAACTGTTTTTTTTTTTTATTTAGACTTGACTGGTGTTTGTCACATTCTAGGTTACTTCATCTGAAGAGGATTTCTTAGTTTGACTAGGCCTTTGTTGACCACTGCTATTCTAGTGCTTTAGGTACCCAAGACGGCACTAAACAGAGCAGGAACATGAAAGCCCTTTAGACTTAATGATACAGTTCTCTTGAAAGAGAACAAACACAAGAGGGAAGGAGAAAGTGATTTGTGGTAAAGGGAAAAGTTTTCCGTGTGTAAAAGCCACTGTAGTTTTTTAAGTCTCTGAAAGCTATATTACTAATGAATCAGTGTCGTTCTTGAAGCCAAATGTACTGGTTGCACTTCCTGAAAAAGCAGCTGTAGGTACGCTGGTGCTACACTGGAGCTCCCACTGGCTGTTAGTCTGATAGTCCTCTTGCTGCTTCTCTGTCCGTAATACAGAGATAGTGATCCTGCTAAAGAGCTCAGAAATAGTCAGGTATTATTATCCAGGAATCTCATAATTAATTTAAGTCTCTATTTTTAGCTACAAGGATGGCATGGTGGTTATAATTGATATCAGCAGGAAAAGGGAAGTACTTCATCGGCTGCGAGGCCATGACGATGAAATACATTGTCTGGCCTGGTGCCCTGTGCCCGGTGAAGACAAGTTACCTGCTTGGCAAGATGAGCTCCAAGGTATGTAAAAGTGATTAATAGTTTGTGAAGTAATTTTTAATTCATATAAATGTCCTTCTAGAGAATTGAATTCCTTACAGAAAGTCAGTAAGTAGCTAAGCAAAGACAACTGATAAGTTTAATGAAGTATGTTCTGATACAAAATAATATATTTTCAGTTAATTTTTATAAAGCTTTGAATTTTAAAGTATAACAACATGACTTAAATGGTACTCAGTAGTTCCGTCAGAGGAAAGGAAAGTTCCAAATGGGGAGCTGACACAGGACACGACCACAAAGAAAGGTTGTTACCTGGCTTCGGGAAGCAAAGATCAGACCATACGAATATGGAGCTCTACTAGAGGCAGAAGTAAGTAAGATTTTAATGTCTGATAAACAGTAACAATATAGTGGAAGAATTCTTCTCTACCTGTTGCCTTCATTTGCTAACTTGATAGTTTAAAGCATGGGGAGCATACTTATAGCTTCAGATTCACAGGACTTCTTTTTCTCTCAGGGAATTTTGATGTAATAGGTCTAGATAATCCCTCTTGGTTCCTTAGGTGTAATGACTTTGAAGTTGCCACCCACAAAGAGAAGAGGTGGAGCCGTTGATCCTGCTGTTAAAGAGCGCATTTGGCTGACTGTTCACTGGCCTTCTGGTCGTTCCACAGAAATTATATCCAGCTGTTTTGGGTAAGCAGAGCACACAGCAGTCTGGGTAACTGCAGGGTAATACTTCAGGAAGAACTGGGTAGGAAACTTTGACACCCCCTTCCTTCCCAGTATAACTGTAGAGAAGACAGGCCAAGAGTTAAAAGTGGGAGTTCAGTAGTAGAAAACTATTTGTCCTATAATTTTTCTGATAATCTAACGGAATATTGACTGCTAATTGTAAGTTTGTCCATTTAATGGGAGAAAAAAATGACTTGTCGGTTTTCAGTGTGGCTAACGATATAATTTGTAGGCTGGTGTTTGTGTGTGTATCTACATATAGGCACATGTAGTGGTTGTGTGTCTAGCTGTGTTACTCTTGCAGTATGCATACACGTAATATAGTCGCTATATATAGCCTATGTTACTCTTTTGAAGTGAACAGTGAAGTACACGCTTCAAATTTTGCAGAGGAGAGCTGCTACTCTGGGATTTGACCCAATCTGGAAAACGCAAGTGGACACTTCTAGGATCTTCTGAAGGACAAAATCACTCCCGTATTGTGTTCAACCTGAGTTCTGTGAAGTGTCAAGACAAAGAGCTCCTTTTTTCCATTTCAATGGACAGAGATGTGAGAACCATTTATAAAATTAACATGAAAATAGCGGTACCTGTACAGTTTGACTGAGTGAAGTTACCCCTTTTAAGGTCACAAATTTTCTCTTCAAGTGGGTTTATTGTAGCATTTTACAACATTTATTCTGAGCACAGGTTGTGTATATTTTTGTTAGTTTATAATCGCAAGCTCTTACCATGGTGGACTGAATGGTTACAATATTCTGGACATGAATGGTAAGCATTTAATAAAGGGAGTTTACCATCTCTTTTTCCTGTATGTTTCATTTTAAAAAGGCCTGGTTTTCCTTCTTAAAAACATTTACTTGGACAAACTAAAGCATCTATTGTTTTTATACGGTTTTTTTTAACTTTTTGCCTTTTACGGGCAGCAGGCCGCCTCCAATTTTGAAGTCAGAAGAGGACTGTAGTATTAAAATACAGTAATTTTGTATATTGTATTACAGTCTTCCAACTATTGCAGCCCTGTCTATGACATGTAATCCTCTGGGTGTAGATCACATACTATGTCAAGCCCTGAATTTGACCCTTTGATATTTTTTTTTTGTCTCACTCATTCTTTGTTTTTCCTTGTCATACCAGTCACTCTACATTTAACCATTCCTTCTTCCTTAAATATTCCTCAGGTGAAGTGCTGGGATCTGTCAACTCTTGATTGTAGCTGGACAATGCCCTCACTTGGGGGATTCGTCTATAGTCTTGCCTTCTCCCCTGTGGACACAGGCTGTCTTGCCATCGGTGTTGGAGACAGCATGATCCGGGTGTGGAATACTTTGTCCATGAACAATATCTATGATGTTAAAACCTTCTGGCAAAGCATAAAGTCCAAGGTTACAGCAGTAAGTATGCTTTTGATTTCCTTTATCTCTTGTCTCTTTTCTCACTCCATCTGAAGAACATTTCTCTTTGAAGAAGATTTTTCCCAACTCGGAAGCTGTAAATCCAAATTGTTCCTTTTGTACTTGCTTCTTTTCACATTCAGTGCACTTCAGAATCAGACAACAAATTTTTAGACCTTTTTACTGCCCTAGGTACGTGCATTACATCTAATGCAAATGGGCTGAAGTCCAGCTGGCTGTCATATTACTTTTTTGCTTTTATTCTCCTTTGAGATGCTTCCTTGCTTCATCCATAGTTTCCCTTGCTCTGCTAGGAAGTTTGACATGCACAAAAAACAACATGGATGTCTTCAGGTTGGGTTTGACCAGTGGTTGGCCAGAGGCTACTGCCTGGTAAAATTGCTGGCAGCGTTAAAACTTGGTAGTTATTCTTGTTCACACCAAAAATTTTTTCACCATCCTACAATATTCTCCACTTCTATTTTGCAACATAAAGTAGTATTTTGATGATTCTAGTGCATTTCATCTCATCTGACAATAGCTGGTAGGGGGAGAGCCTTTGATATTCATAGCAGAGGGATCAAATCAAGTGGCTGTAGTTGGAAGGGTGGATATAAGGGCTGGTGCTTGCTCATCAGTTTTAATGTTTTCCTTTTGCTTATTATTTAGAAATAAAGTGTCTGTAGCTTGTGTCATTATGAGTCTCTTTCTATTTTGCTTACAGTTATCCTGGCATCCAACTAAGGAAGGCTGTTTGGCTTTTGGAACAGATGATG